GGGCATTTAGAAGCTCTGAACAGCACCAGATGTTCCTTCTCCAATGAATCTGCAGGCAGATTCGGCCAGAGACACATAGCTCTTTGATTATCAGTCCAGTTGCCTCAGTGTGGTGCTTCCAGGGATCCCTGGGAGAGGAGTGGGGTAGGGAGGGAAAGTAGGAGAGGGAGGAACGGAAAGAGAGATAAGAGAGAAAGGAGGAAATCAGAATTGATCACCTTCCTGGGTAATAGGGAGAATACATTTGCGTATAAAAAGAGAAACGTAGAAAGCCTGCAGGTGAAAAGAAGTAAAAGCACTTTGCCATTGCTGGCATTCTCATTTCCTGTGTGTTCTTGGAAACGGCATCTGCAAATAACCATACCGACGAAAACGTAAGTTCATGTCACTCGGCATGACTTTCCTCGTGGGTTCTCTCTTCAAAATCTTTGAGGGGCTGGGATTACATTCCTCACTTTCAGGGGATCTGACTTTACTCCTACTCTCTGGTGGAGAGAAGCGTCTGTCTCAGCGCTGCACTGGTCTAAACAATTTGCGGCTTTTGCCTGTCTCCTGTTGTGCCTTTGCATACCCTTGAGCGGGAGTGAAAGAAATAAAGTGCCTTGGTAATAGTTCAAAGGAAGAGATTTCGTTATAGCAAAGACAAGGAGTATACAAGGTAGACAAGAGGAAAGTGGGGACACACGGAAGATCTTGGGTGAAAAGAAGGTGGGAGATTAAGTCAAGGTGATCCATTGATTTCTCCAAGAGCAAGAATAACATCCTCAATGACTTTGGTGTGGAATGGACTTTCACCTCGGTTTGGTTTATGGTAGTCTGGAAGAGAAACAGGTAATAAAGTGTTACTACACTAGCCTAGAAAATTGATTTGACTAATATTAGGGGCAAGATGGTGGACAAGTCCCCTACCTGCTTTGAACCCCATTTATTACCGAAATCATTATTATGCAATCTAGGTAAAGGACTGTTTTATTCCTTAGCTCACAAACTAAATGTATTGGGAGTGCTTTGAAACACTGGTTTACGACGACAAAACTGCTATATTCAAGTCCAGAGTTTGAGAGCCAAGGGGAGCTAATGAAGAGATTTAAATGGGTTGGGGGAAGGGTAAAACAGCATGAGACCAATTTCGCTATTCTTCCCTGAGAGTATTGCAGTGGAGTGGAATATTGGAGTCAAGTTTACTCAGCCTGGTGTTTGAGTGGAAAAGACAGGTTTTAAAATACGTGTTACTCAGCGGTGTTGATAATTTAAGTTCTGAGATGTTTTTCCCTAGTTGTGGAATAGAAAAAGTACTCCATTTCTAGGACCTTTGGGACATTATACGGAGTTAGGCAGTTAATCCTCTCTGCCTGTTCAAACAACCAGTGTCTGAGGATCCGATAGAGGTAGGTTTTTGGAGACCATAAATCTTAGGAGAAGAGACTGCTGGTAGTTCTTTGAAGCTGTTGGTGAATTGGAACTTGACTGCACTTGATTTGGCAGCACAACTCCCCATTCACTAGGCCATCAGAGCTATCAACAATTATGCATTCTTTCCTACTTTACCACTTCCTCTTTCATTGCTTCCACCACTACATATTGAGTGCCTACTGTGCAAGGCTTTGTTAATGTCTGTGAATGGAGAGTAGGAAAAATGATTATATTATTTTAGGGCTAAACTAAGACAATAACAGAGCTGTTGAGATTGGCAAGAACCGGGATGCTCAGGAATTTGTAAATGACAAGAGGAAACGTTGTGTTTAAACTGAACACAAATGATTGAAAACTCATTGAAGAATTTTTTAAACTATGGGGAGGGAGAAAGAACAGAGGTAAGATGCACTGGGATCACTAACACTCTCTGAAGTCCAGTTATAAACTCAAGTGGACTTCGGAGGCCATTTATTAAATAGCAATGGAATGAGACTGCTTAACTTTATCTGCCAATCTGAGAGTGGTTTGGAAGAGATTGCCGGCATTTCTCCCAGAAAGCAACTGTTGGATTCAAAGTGTTAAGTTTTCTCGAGTCTGGTGATGTCTGAATGAGCTGGAGGCTTGCCTTCTTTTCTTTAATTTTTATTTTATATTGGTTTGCTTTAAAAGTTCATTTACATTGTGTTTCACACAGTCATTCCCATTCATTGTGTTCTATAAAGTTAATCATCATTGAACTATGCCCACCATTACCCCACCTTTCCAGATTTGATTCCCTGCTGGATCTCTCATTTCCTTTACCCTCTTCCTCCACCCTCCAAATTGTGTGACCCTATAATTTCCCCCTTCTCATCTTCATCACTCTGCTTCCACCCTTGCCCTCTTCAATCCCCATGCACATTTTACTAGTTCTTCTATTTTTACAATAGTCTTCTGCAATACTTGAGTTAGCTTACTCAGAATAATGGTCTCCAGTCTCTCTCAACTTACATAGTAATTTTTGAAATTGTTGTTCATGGGTGCTGCATAGTATCGCATCATGTGAATGTGCCACAATTTCTCAAGTCATTCAATTGTGGTTGGACATTTGGGCCCTTTCCGTGATCTTGTAATTATGGATAATACTTCTGTGAATGCTGGTGTACAAATCTCTATTTGTCTCAGATCTAACTTCCTCTCAGTTTTAAATTTCTAGCAGTGGAATAGCTTGAGTATGCAATTTCTATGGAGCTCTGGTGGTCTGGTGTAAGAAACTGCTGGAATTTCAAAACCTTGCCTTCTTATCTAGACTGGCACAGAATACAGTACCTCAATCAAGCACATGATTTAAAGAGGGAAAGGAAACTTGAAAATAACAAAATCTATGTGATTCAGAGCAAACCTAGCAATTCTTCCATTAACGTTTTCCATCCTGGGTGAAGGGAGGGATGGGTAAAGGAAAAGGGTAAGATCTGGTGTGAAAAACAATGTATATGAACTTCATGAAGCTTTCTAAGGGGTCTCCAGTGTGTGATTCCTTGGTTTGGAGAGAGAGAGACCACTAAAATATGAGAAAGAGAGAGAGAAGACCACTAAAATACCATGCCAGGAAATTAATAGACATATTGCCATGGGAAAGTTTGCTTTTGGAAACCTCAGAAGGGGATGCTCTGAAGAGCAATGGTATGTCACTCTGGAGACCAAGATTTCCTTGATACAGGCCATGGTCTTTGCAATCACTTGCTATCCATCAGAGGTTTGGACAATGACTAGAGAGGATAGAAAGAGAATTGATGCCTTTGAGCTGTGGTGTTGGATAAGACTATTAAATATGCCATGGACTGCAAAGAAAATGAACAGGTTCATCCTGGAGAGGGTTGAACAGGCTGCTCCTTGGAGGCAAAGATTCTGAAGCTTTGTCTGACATACATCGGACATATTGCAAGGAGGGACCAGTCCTAAAAGAAGGATGTCATGCTTTGGAAGGTGGAGGGACAGCACAGGAGAGGAAGACCCTCTAAGAAATGGTTTGATTCAGTGACTGGGGTAATGGGTGTAAGTGTGTCAGAGACAGTGAGATTGGCACACTGAAAGAACTGGGTGTAGGGCTTTTGCAACTCAATGGCAAGTAACAATAACAAGGTTGATTAGGGCAGGTTTGTATAGTAAGAGTCTTAGGAGAAGGAAGGGATGGACCTTACATTGTGGTTTACTGGGTGGGTCTTTAGTGGGTATTTAGGGAAGGAAGGGAGGGGCACTGATCAACAGATCTGAACCTTGCCCTATCCTGCACCAGTCTCCTGATTCATCCTGCTTAAGTACACTGTGGCAGTCACTGTGTCAGCCCATCTCAGCAAGGGGTTTCCTTTCTTTCAATGACCTTCTGTTTTTCTCAACAACTTGTCTTTCTCCACAGACTGGTTCCTCCTGGCAATGAGAGTAAAGTAACTGAGTTGAAGTCTCACCATTCTGGCCTCCAAAGAGCTCTCTGGTTGCATTTCCTTCAAGACAAATTTGCTTGTTCTTTTGACAGTCCCTGTTATTCAACACTCTCCAAAATCACAATTCAAAGGCATCAATTGTTCTTTAGTTTTCTTTATTCATTGTGTAACTTTCAAATGCATAGGAAGCAATTGAAAATGGGTGAGATATACAGTCTCTGAAAACCCTCTGAAGGGTCAACTAAGAGTTGCTTCTGATTTGACAACAATAGTTTTTTATTCATTCAAAGTATAGACTCAGTAAAAGAAAGGAAGGCTCTCAACAAGATGGATACACAGTGACGACAAAAAGGGGCTTGAGGATGGTAGAAATCATGATGGTGCAGGGCTGAGTAAAGTTCTGGTCTGTTGTTCAGAGTATCACTAGGAGGAGTGGTCAACTTGATGACATCCCACAACAGTATTACTGATAAAGGAGGCCTTGTGATGAGGTGCACAAGGCTCTGGGCTTTTAACCAAAAGGTATTTTCAGAGTCCAGAGCAAAAGCTGTATAGTAGAGTGGATCTGGGGGGAGGGATTGTAAAACAATGAAAGAATTTTTCTTTTACTTTTCCAAGAGGGTGGTATATGAGGGGGGAGAGTTTGGGAGAAAAGTGCAACAATGGGTGAATGGAAATCCAAAGTCTCTGTAAATTTTCATTGAAATTAATAATAAATTTTAAAAAAAGAAAAAAAAAAGATATTTTTAGTGGTTTGAATCCACCAGTTGCTCAGCAGGGGAAAGGTAGGCAGTTTCTGCCTGTAAAGATTTTATAGTCTTGGAATGATGGAAGGCACTGTGAGCCAGCATCAACAAGTCAGGGCAGTGGTTTTGGGTTTACTCATTAGTTGGGAGCCATTGTCATGGGGGGCTGATAATAAGAGGGTCAGTAGTTTAAATCCACCTACTGCTCAGAGGGGAAGAAAGATGAGAGAGATTTTTCCCCTTAAGATTTGTATCCTTGGAAATTTGATGAAGGTCACAATGAGCATGAATCAATTTGAAGTCAATTTGTTTAATTTTTATGTTGCATTTGTTAGTTTTGTGCAAATGCAATTTAGTTGTGTGGCATTCAAGGAGAAAAAATGACTGACAAATCTTCTCTTTCCAGAACTTATTTAACATGAACTTAGTTGAAGAATGTTCAATGATTACATTATCTCTAGCAACAGAGGAATATACAGAAACAGATCAGACGAGTATTTCTCCTATGGCCGATGTCAAAGTGAAGAAGCCCAAGAACCACAGTAAAGGTATGAAGGCAGGGATTGCTCAGTGCTGCACCCATACACCCTTCACTCTAGAGCACTCAGCTGAAGTCTTACCTTCTCTGTGCACCCATATATTAACTCCAGAAGAGTTCCCAAGCTTGCGTACTTCACCGTGATGGTGCCTTGATTTTAAGACCTAAGAGGTGCATGGAGTGCTCTGGATAGAACATCAGGTAACAAGATGAATTAAAATTCTCTTATAGAGAGAAAGAATTTTGAAAAACAGCTAACATTTACTTGGTAATTACCAATTAAGTATCTAGCAGCTCTTTTTTTTTTCAGCTATTTGTATTTCTTTATTCTTAAACAATACTAGAAAAATGGTACCTGAAAAACAAAATGTAATTGTGTTATACAGCAACTTTTGGTAGGAAAACACCACTTGGTTTAAAATTAGACTTTTAAGTATGTTACAATTTTTTGTAAAATTTTTTTCTTATTAATTTCAATGAAAATTTAGAGACTTTGGGTTTCCATTCATTCATTGTCT